ATATTGCGCTGAGCCCTCTCAGGCAAGATTAGAAATCTCGCTTCGCTCGAATAAATAGGACGAAAACACACAACACAAACACACACAACAGGATAGAGTAGCCTCAACACATCCATGCCTTCATCCGGAAGGACGAACTAAATGTTGGCATCAAGGGATATAGCTGATCGCACAGATCGTTCCAGAAACTGTTCCCACTCCCTTGTGGCACGATGGGGGTCGGATAACCGGCTTTTCTGTCCGAGGATCGCAGCAGAGACTTATCTCTGCGTGTTGAAGTCCGTGGCCAGCTTGATGGCCTTCTTCACCATGTCTTCGGCATGGAACGCCACTAGCTCCTCGCCGACGCCCCACTCGGCCACCTGAACGAAGTGTGCCGGGAACCAAATTCGAGATGGCATGGTTGATGGGTAGTTATCGAAAAAAGTAGGGTCTACCTGAAGAGCGCGTTCCTTCTTAGTTCATGTATCCGGCAGCATGGGGGGTAAAATCACACACTTAGTACAGTTTTCGACTAACTCGCTACCTGCACGTACTGTAGTCCGGCGATTTTATGGGAGTGTCTGAGGCGCTGGTGGCGTCTTGGAGTATCAGTCAGTGCGGGTAGCACAATATTTGCCCCCTCCGTCGATGCTGCCAAGAACACGGAAACCCCGAAAAAATAAAACGAGATGTAGCACCCCACGACGGATCGCGACCAGTACCTGGCCAGCAGCCAGCGGCAAGACGGACATCCGAGCGGGCAGTGTAACCACTGGGACCCCTGCCAACAACACCTCCAGCGAGGTCACCCCTTCCCCCTACGGAAAAGTATCGAGCATGACCATGCACTTGGCCACGACCAACAGCATCTCCGAGTGGTTGAGGTGGGGCAGGAACACGAGGCGTTCGACGAGATCTGATCCGAGGGTGCGCCCCCAGCGGGGCAAGTGCACCTGGGAAGCAGACGCGCGTCCATCAAAACTCTTGAATGAGATAGAAGGACGCCCTCATGCTAAGAACAAAATCAGAGTTGACGTATGTTACCCGTCTCCGTGCTAAATCTGTCCACAGATATCGGGTTACCAGGCACAATTATACAGAACGAAGGAGCAAAGCGAGGTGGTTTACTACCCGGCTGACCATGGCGAAGAAACCCGCTATCCTTTATGCGCTATTACGTTGTACTCACAGATCACCACCCTTTGCTTAGTGCGGGAACTACTTCGTCGAGGTTTAGAGTTTACAATCTACCAGTACCCATGAAACAAGCACCTACGTCACTGCCGGCCGTAAGGAGAATTTTCGCTGCCGGATCGCGCTGGAGCACCCCCTTCATCACCTGATCGAAATCGGGGTGAAACTTCTTCGAGTGCTGGATGCAGTGGTACAGGTGATCCCCTTCTACGAAGGATATTTCGGCCCACGGTCTTGACGCCGCCGCGGCCGCGGCAACGGCAGCCACCTCACTAGAGGGGGCATTTACGAGGCCGAAAACCTCCGGCAGTGACGCGGTCAATGAGTCGAAGAGAACGAGCTCCTCCGTGTAGTCTTGCTCCCCCTCGCCGCCACGGACTTTCCATGGTTGTAGATTTTGTGTCGTGCTTCTCGTCTCTTCTGCCAGCGGATGAGTTGTGTTTCGCGGAAGGTTCTGGTAATGATGAGGCTGACCGTCACCGGAGAGTAGGAGTCTGCTCGGCATGTACCACCTGCCGTGGGGCTGTGAACGCTATCATCGTCGTCACAGCCTTCGGCGCCAGCGTCGGTGGTGACGATAGTGGCCAATTATAGGTCGCTCGAGGTGCCGGCAATTCTGCAAGCTCTCGAGCGTCGATGCTCGCCGTCGTCTCATAGAGGTCGCTGCTCACGAAGCAGTCGATCCCGGGAGAGCCCGATGTCACAGAATGGCCGTGCCCGAAAACAACCTTCGTTTCAACCCGGGGAAGCGCAAGGAAAAAGCATCGAGAGTAATGGAACGGATCGGCAGAATCACGCCGAGACGCAACAGCAGCACGGCAGATACACAGAAGGGGTCATGCGACTACATTCACCGCCCCGGCGAAGTCGTCAAACGTGACTGCGAAACACCGGCCCTACTCGTCCAAAGGAAGTTCCAAGTGTGCACTCGTCGAAAAAGTACCAACGTGCTCGAGGGCTGCCGGCCTGCCAAAACATTTACCGGGCGGTACTGCCTACGTAATTCAACATATATTTCCTCCAGCGCGAATCGTTTCACACCTGTACCGGCGCCAGCCGGCCTAGCGCCAACAAGTGGCTCCACAGCGTGTTTCCCAAGGCAGCGGAGAGTAGGACATCTACCTGGATCGACGCGATACATAGGAAGTGCCACGCTCAATGGTGAAGTGCTGCAGGTGTTACTAAAGCGCTACAATTTTGCGAGAAAGTGGGAAAGAAAAAAACGCCAGGAAGCCAGAGTCCAAGCGGCGCGGGTTATCCGCTTGGTGCCATCGATAATGCTGCATCGACAATGCTGTACGTCGTATCATCATACAGAACGTACCTGGACCGACGCGATGACTCCCCGATCAGCGAAAGGGTCTGTCAGGCCTTCCACAAATGGGTGCCACGGGAAGATCTTAACCTCCTCGGCAGCTTCCGGCAAAGCCTGCCCGGCTTCGCAGTAGCAATCCGTGTAGTCTCGCGAGAACACCACGAGTCGAAACCTGGAGCGGTCCACACTCTCCAAGATTCTCTGGATGAGGTGGTGTGGCGAGCGATTGCCCCACCTCTCCATCACGAATCCCACGGTGATTCTGACACCTATCGTCGCTATGCTGGGAGGCGAGGTAAGGCTAATCTGTGGCTGTTCCCCTTCACCAAACGCCCCCGTCGTTCCTTGTCTTCCAGAAGCGATGCTGTTGTCCACGCTTTTCGTGGCTGCAGTTGTGCGATCGCTTCGTGCAGCCCCACCATCAGCGCCGCAAGGATCCAGCACAAGCTCTCCATCAGGGGGCGCATATTGCGCCCCAGGTACTGCCAGGAAAAGCTAGGTACATGTATCAGGTCTCGCCCGGGGCCCGGGATTGGGTACGATTCGGAGAGGCGTATCGGACATCTGAAAGTGTTCCACGAGGCGTCGAATCTCGGCAGACACCCTTGAAAACCTGCATTTGCATCACGGCAAACGTTCTGCAGTGTGAGGCACAGAGGAGCCTACAGCACCGCAACCGAACGTCTCCTGCATTTTCCTGCTAGGTTGATGAGGCTATATGTCCATTAACATATCTCGCGTGTTCCCTGCACATGATTCAGTCTTCCTGCCGCCGCCAAAGCTGTAGCGCATTATTATCCCCTGTCACACGGCTTGGAATAGATGAATTCCGCGTATCGGCGGTTTGCCTTCAGAGTTTGCGATCAGCTGGTGCTATTCGATATGCTCGTAGCATAGCATGCGGGTGGTATATTGCGTATACATATGCGGGTAATGCAGTGACGAACTACGGAGGAACAAGAAGTTTCTTTATGTTTTCCTTGGGAGTGTGGTAGATTGGTGGAGATTCATGAAGATTCGTTTTGGGTGTTTGAGCGTTATGCGTGACTTGATGCCGTGATGGAATGACGAGCTCAAGCACGCCCCCGATTAATACAACACGTTTACAACACGTATTCCACACGTCTGTACGACTTTACCTACCCCTACGGCCCGTCATGGCCGAGCTGCTCTACACGCCCATCACACACAACTAAGCCACCCGAATTATCGAACACGCTAGCATATGACACGTCGTCTACGAGATTCGCGGTCGAGCTTGGTTTAGGAGTATCGCTTTGCGGCGATCGAGAGCAGGGTCAAGATGGCTACCAGCCCGCCAAGCAGCGGAGGCCCGCCAAGCAGAAGAAGTCAACAGGAGTCCGGACGTCAGCTGCGAGGTGAAAGCAGGAGAGGGTTAGATAAAAGTCATGCGAGAGAGCGAAGAGTACGAGGTAGGCCAGCAGCAGGGAGCGCGCCTAGAACCATATCGACCACGCCGGCGGACGACATCCCCCTGACGATCGCGCGAGCCCCCGAGGGGCGGCTCAGCGCATTACAGCAGCACCACTTCTGCTACTAGGGTCCCAGACCCGCTCAGGCATGTGATGAAATGATCATGTCCTCTGTCCGAAGACGAATATGGCCTTGTTTTGTGTTCCGAAAGATTTTTAGGCTTGTGTCTGAATCGTTTCCTGTGTTCAGAATTCTGCGAAATGTGTGGTGTTGGGATGAAAGAGCGAGTACGGTTGTCACGAACGAGATAACTGAACGTGTGAGGGGTCATCAAGCCACCAACAGCACGTATTAGGGGATGTTATGCTTCCAAGAGTATAGTTGCCAATCGTGCAACGCAAAGAGTATGAGGGTTTTTTATCCCACCAAAAGCAGTACAACGGTAACAAGAAAACAG